TAAAATATGGCATTATTGAGGTTTAGTTTCTGTAGCCTCGTTCATAAAACCTAACGATTTAAGCACCATCGTAAAGATGAGTGTTGTGGATTCAGAGAGAAAACTATAAAACCATCACAATATTATTACATATATTTTCATTTTTATTTATTATTTATATATAAAATGCCTATCATAAGTGACTCTCTTAGCACCTTTACTTTTCTTCTATCAACTAATCCAGAGGTTCTCAAAGTGTGGGGCACGACCCTCGGGGGGAGGGGGGAGCGCAAGACAATTTTAAAAATCAACATTGCATTGGTAGAAAAAATAAAAAAAAATTGTGAAATGTCCGTAATAATAATCGCGTTTTGCATTGTATTATACATTTTATTTTAAAATAAATTTGTAATATTAATATTAATATCGATATTTGTTGTTTGTTTTTAATATTTTTTTACTCTAAACATGACTATTAAAATTATTTTTATGTGGGGGGCTCAGGTTTGGGGTTAACTAAAAGGAGGGGGCCTGCGCTGAAAAGTTTGAGAACCTCTGAACTAATCCATCTTATGAAATATCATATGTATACATTTACCTATGTAAAATTAAGAACGAAAAATCTTGTCACCCCACCAACATGTAGGAAGCACTAAGGGAAGCTAATTTAGACAATGTTTTTAATTTTTATAACTCCATTAATCTTATAAGCCTATTTTAATTCAATATTCTAAATGTAAATACAAATATATAATTTTAAATCAAAAAATCTTATGTGCCATCATCTATTAAACCTGTATAATTTAAGTTCATATAACACTATGTAGGCTAATGATTATAAATTCATAACCTTAAAAATAATAATAAAAAAAAAAAAACATAATTGTTTGACTAAAGTATAATTTTAGAATATTGTAGGTACCTTTATACAAGTTTTATAATGTTTCATGTATTATAAATATTACTTTTGAATATCATCAAAAAGTTCTAATGATTTATATGTAGTATAATGTAATTAACAGTACGAATTATTCACAAATCACAACACTCTATTACCTTACGGGGAAAGTGAAACAAGATGCCAAATAGTCCATATCCCAACACTTAGTCTCTGCTTAATTAATTAGATATTAACTTTTAGTATTTAGTAGTTAGAAGGATATTAACTTTTAATAGGGATAAAACAGTAAAATAGTATAAAACCGTTTCTTATCGATTCGTATAATTATATTTCCTTATACATAGTATCTTTTTATTAAATGTATTATAATTTAATATCAATTCATAATTTTAATTAGTATTAAAATAAAATTGAGGACATGTATACAATGACATTTAATTAAAATGTCTATAATGAAATTTTACGTTTATAATTTATCTTTTTAAGATTTTTTATATTAATTGATGAAAGAATTTATTATTATTATTATCCGAAATAAATATTAAATATAATTAAGTCCAATTACTATTTCTATAAACACATTTTTCCTGGAAACTAAGGCGACTAAAAGATGTCTTTGTGTAAAATTGTTAAATTATAAAAGCTCAACTATAAAACGAACTGCTGGTAGAAGTATCCAAGCATCAAGTAACTAATAGGTAAAAATATCTAATTTATCAGAAAAATTTTTTTTTTTTTAATTTACGCCATTATAAAATGTATTAAAATGGTATGCTTTATTTAGCTCCACATATACAATTTCATATAGATAAAACATAGTATGTCAGTTAATTACATTTTTTTTACAGAAATGGTCCACACCCATTTCGCTGAAAAAATGCACACCATTTATAATCACGACTTTTTAGTATCCGGAAAAAAAATCGCGAAAAAACCAAATTTTAATAATATATAAACACACTATTCTTATGTGTTATTAATTATTATACAATATACTGTGTATTTTATCTATCATAGTAAATATAGGTTATTATCAATCTTAAAGTATCATTATATTATCATGATATCTTATTGCATATAAAACAGCAGTCAAGAAATTGTCATAACCACTTATGTCATTTTTGTAACAATTACATAAAAAATATTATATACCTATTTGTAGGTAAACAATAATGAAATGAATAACATATGCCCATATAAGTACCCTTTTTTTATCTTAATAGTATCACAGTCAAGCTCTATAGCATAAATATTACCTTTATATGTAAGATATAAGATGTCAATCATTTTTACACAGACATATACAAAAAAACTATCTAGTACCTACCTAGAATTTCCCAACACAGAAAAATGTAAGCAGTTTTTATATAATTAAAAACATATAATTTAGATTAATTTAATTTTACTTATAAATATAATCGAATTCGTAATTAAAACTAACACCTAATTAAATATACGAATTAAGATTTTTTCCGTAATTCGATAGAATATAGTTGAAAATTAAAGCTTCAAAATTAAGCTTAGTTCTCTTGTCTCATGAGATAGCCATTTGTTAGCCAAGTGTGTCCTGTCTTATTCTTAGCCTAACTTTATTTTATAATTCATGTACAAATTCGATATTACCCTAATGTTTAAGAAAGATCGCATATATAAAAATATCCATTAAATATTATAAAAAATAATAAAATAAATAAAAATGCAAAAATACATTTGTACATTTTAATATTTTCATTACTGTTTTTACTTTCAACACAATTAACAAAATAATATTATGAATAGCAACATTTCAAAAATACACATCAGTTTTTGTTTGGGAAATATTATTTAAACATAGGTAAACAATTGATAACTTTTATATTATGAAATACTTAGTATTTTATCAAACAATTCATTATGTTAGGTAACTACTTACTTTTTTCCTAGTACAAAAACAAAATATATACCTCAGAGTTATTTTTTGTAATAATAACTACTGAAATGAATAAAGTTTTTAAACATTAAAAGTTTTAATTACAAATAACAATAATATGCATTTATTCACTTGAAAGTTTGCTGCTTTTAATTTTCATAAAAGAGCACCCGATACCTTTATTATTTTATGGAATACACCTTGACAGTTAACTGCTGAAATTATATTAAAATGGCAATCAAAGAAACAAGATTTTTCTTACTTGACCTATAAATAGTTTGATAGTACACCTTTTTTAAACATAAAGTAGATATGTATATGTAGTAACATTTAAAAAATAGGTTCTCCAATAAAATTAATTATACTGTGTGATAAATTAATACAAATCGCCCAGCCAAAAGAAAATGCACTGTGCTTATTTGCTATACATGAATAAAATTTACAAACAAACTTTGATGAAGTAATTTTTATGACTGTGGGAGTTTCAAAATAATAGGTTACTAAAGGTAAATCAAAACAATTTGAAGATCAATGTAATTTGGTGACGTTCTTTAAAAACTAATCAAAAGGTATAGCATAACAATGATAACAATACTATGAACATAATACTATTTGATTATCATTGCATTTCACATTATATCTATTGTCTCATTTCAATGTTTATATATTATCATATTATCAAATTTATAAATAAAGATTTGACATATTTCTGTCCCACTACTTTAAATCATTTAAATTTAAAATTACTTTTGTTTGAAATGTTTGAATATACGTAGCTAAAATAATGATGCTATATAGAAGAAGTAATAAGGAAAAAAACGTATTCTTAAAGAAAACGTTACTTATCCTATTTAAATTAAATAATATATTGTTATATTTACATTTATTAAATAAATCGAACAAATGCAATTTTTTAACATATAGCTTATAACAGTTACCTATAACATTAACTACTCACAACAAAATGTATCCAAAACAGTAAAGTTGTGAAACAAAAATTAGTATACATTTATTTAATAAACTATTAAATTAAATAAATAAATAATAAACCTTTTATTATTAGAATTAATAATAATTTTATCATTTTATGTTTTACTTTAAAACATTGGAAAACGACTTGAAAACTGTCACTTGCTATTTATCATTTTAAAACATTAGTATTATCAATTATCATGGTAAACGCTGGTTCGAATAATTATATTTTATTTTAAACCCCCCCCCCCCTTAACCTCTTATGTACGGGAATGTATATAATATTTATTATATTAAATTGTAATTTGCAACATTGTAATAATACTAAGTATAGTGAGTTTTTATTCATACAATTAATTAAATAATAAATAAATATATTTGATTTTTGTTTGCTTATTGCAAGTCTACACGTAATGTATTATTTTAATGTTAAAGCTTTATTAATGATGGTTTGGAAGAAGAATGTAAGGGCTTCTCTACCTTAGTTTTTTGACTTTTAATTTACAATTTGCAGAATACTGGAATACTGCAAAAATGTTAATCCCTGTAACGACTAAATCCTAATTTCCTAGTTACACCCATGAAAAAACTAACTAAAAATACTCTTATAGAATAACATGTATATATCAACTGAACTATTTAGATTGATCACATACAATTAACATGATAAATTAATATCACAAAATGTAAGAAATTTCATTTTTATAATATAATTCGAATTCTTTTATGTTATATATCATTTTATCAATGCTATTAGATGTAGGTAATACATTACATTCCAACGTAAAAAATGTATAAATATATATCTATATTTGTCACTTTAAAGTAATACACAATCAACAATATAGATGTAAATCTTAATAGAAAATATAACTTTAAAAAAAGTAATTCTAAATTTCTAAACGGTTTTCATTTTAATATTTTACTATAAATAAATAAATATATATATATTATTTAAAATGTTTAAAACTATATTAAATATTATTATTTTGAGCTTAAATTTGAATATAAACAATTATTTTAATCTTATCTTTTTAAAACTATCATCACTAGCTTAAAGATCATTTTCTATCATCGTAATCTAGATATTTCAATCTATTAATCATATATTTCTTGTTATTTAATTTATTTTTAATATTGTTTTTGAAATAATATATTCTACATCTAAACATGTTTTTAAAAACTCGTCGTATGTATGTCCGGTTTCACATTATGCAATTTGCATGTGTTATTTCCAATCCAAACACATCATTCTCAGGTTTTTCTCTGTATATTATATTTAATGGCAGGGAGCTGATGTTAGTCACTGCAGTAGTAGAGATGGAGAAATTCAAATATCACACGCGGGTCAAAAATTACAACAAGGTGAAACTTTAACTTTTTCTTCTCCGGAGTTCTGGGTACACGTCATATACACCATAGTCCTTAGTAAATCGATTTCTACGTATTCGATCACACGCGGTTGTAGACACCATTCACTCGTCAGCATGTTCAAAGCCCGCCTGATTGTTTTTTGCACGGCCCTCGTAATTATTTTTCCAGTCCACGTGTTTGCTGATAAAGAGAAAAATATTTTTTTTACTAATTTTTCACCAGGTAAGTCATTACCATTTTCATATCATGACATTTATAATGTTTAGAATTAGGATTTTTAGTTTAATACAATAAATATTAAACTACTTTACTTTGTTATTTTATGGAATTACTATAATCTAATAGTTACACTAAAATTTGAACCTTTTTTCTACCAAAACGTATAATATTATGTATACATTTAATGCTATAAGTTATAACACTAAATAATAAGTATTGAAAAAATATACAATTAAAACTTATACTACCTATTTAAATGAATTGATTCAAAACATGAATATCATAATAAAGTAAAAATGTTATTTAAAAAAAAAATCGCATGGCAGGAGTAAGCTTAACACTTATCTAAAATAAAAATATATATATATAAAAATAGATAAGTAATTTTAATGAACTTCCAGAATCAAGAGAGATTACGTATCCGTGCAAATGTCAAGAAAGCAAATGCAGCTGTTGTAGCGGAAACATACTTCAAAACTTTAACCTTAACATACGACAACGATTGTGCACTAACATAACATACAACGCCGATGACTTCGAATTTAACGTCCGCATATTATTCAATGATTATACGGTGTACAATAGAGATATATCAGGTAAGTTAAATATGATTAAATATATTATAGTTTCGTATTATATGCATGAGTATATTAAATATAATAAAGTGGGTAAATTAATAATAATTATTCAATTCGTATAATTGGTAATAATAGTAGTAGTAATAGTAGTAGTAGTAGTAGTAGTAGTAGTAGGTGTACATTGTGTATACATTTTAGTAAATTTAATCATTACTATTTAATAATAAAATATTATAAATTTGCAATTATTATATTTAATGTTAGAATAATAAAAGAAAAAGTATACGAAAAAAAAAATTATTTGTTAATATAGTTTAATAAATTATAGTATACTAATTTACTTTTTATCAAATTTCACATTAAGTATTTGTATTTTTTTTTAGCTTAAATAATTATTAAATTTAATTAATGACTATATTATACTCAACAATTATATTTGTTTGTTTCCATTAACATATTATTTTATTTTAAAAAAATATTAACAACTATGCCATTTATTCACTTTGCAATAGATTCCAATTCCAAAAAAACATAATTCCACACAAACTAATATACGAGTATATATATATAGTTATTAGTTCTAATACTGCACCTATCTGTTTTCAAGTAAACAATAGCATATTTTTGTTTATTGATCATCAGTATAATATCACTGTTTATTAGCATAGTGTATTACAGTTATTTTTAAACAATACATTTTTGTTGACTCTTATTAGTAAATAAAGTGAAACTTATTAAGGCATCCGTAATGAATAATTTTGTACAACCAAATCAATAATTAAACAGGTGTGTATTTGTTAAGCAAAATACATAAATTCTGACTAAAACTTATATCATTATTAAGCTGACACATTTTTTACTTTACTTGAAATCTAAAATATATAAACATATAAAATAATAATATTTTTCAGAGTAAAAATTATTTAATTTTACGTGATATTTATATTATATAATTCATAAAATACATTAATAATAGATAAAAATAAAACCATAACTATTATAAACCATTTTAAATGGGAACCAAACTAATTAATAAAATTAAATAATTTAAATTAGACTTTTTTCAAAAATACTTAATAAAGACGAACATTTAAAATTTAAATCGTTAGTAAAAATGTCACCACATCTCACATTTCTAAAAAGGAAACATTTTACTTTCTACCTTAAACTCAGTCCTAAAAGGCTTTAGTGGTAGTAATAATAAAGAGCCCATTAAATTATTTATAACTTCTGATTACCTGCGATATAAACTATTGTTGACATTTAGGTATCCATTTATGGTATGATGAAGGATTTAGTTCATAATGAAACTGTTATCTTGACGAATCACATAAGCATTTCAATTGTGATATCAAACTATTGAAGTGACAAATACAGGTTCTATATTATCTTTTTAACCCTTAATATATCAGCTATTATAGTTAACTAAAAATGTCTCTCATTTGTGATCAAAAATGATTAATTATAACTTCAAAAAACATAAATATATTTTTATGTCATAATTCCCATATATTATATAGTAAATTATATTATTGTGTAATTTGTTAAAATAGATTGAGTATTATCAGTTTAATAATTTTCGTTACTAAATATCTCTTGTTTTATCATGGAAAATAACATAAGTAAACTCTTACAAAATAAACATAGAATTCCATCCAAAATGTCAGGTTTTTATTTATATTTATATTGTGTAAATAAAATATTAAAATTCAACAAATTTATTAACAACCTTTTTCTTTAGAATTTACTTATTTATTTCCATAGAATATATAATCAATACAATTAATAAATTAGCACGACTAATAATTATTGTTTGTTATTATTTTTTAAACGAAAATTTACTCAAAAAAGGTGACGCAATTCCATGTGTTTAATTAAATAAGCCTCAAAGATATGATATAATTACCATAAAGATATTTATTATTTATATTCAATAAAAAAAAAAAAATTCAGATTATATTATACTTAAACAATTAAAAATCAATAAAATATTCTTCATATTTTATTTCTGAAACAATGTTTTTTTATCATGTTAAAAAATATGCCATTTTAGATGACATTTATTTTAACTATAACAAATCAAAAATATAATTGTCATAGCAATATCAAATGAAACGATCATAAACAATATATAACTCATAAAGTAATTTTCTAAATTATAACTAGTATGAAATAAGCTATACATGTAACCTACTTTATAAGTTTAATTAGAATTTTTTTTTTTAATTTATATCTGTTATAGAATTAAAATGAATTTACTATAATTATTTATACGTACTCATACCTAAACTAAGTGAATTCTTATACATTTAACTGAGTGCTACTTTTATAAAAATGTTTTATACTCGTATTTAATTGATTAATTTTAATATTATTTTTATCAGTAATAAAAAAACCTATTTGAAGACATATAACGATTACGTTAAAGTATAAGGTAAATTGTAACCAGGATGTTTATTTTTTGGTAAAATTATTTTACTACAGTGTGCTAAAATTATTTGAGAACATTTTACCAGAAATAAGTAAATAACATTTAACTGTCGTAATGGTTTTTGATTAAATTCAAATTGTCTGTGTTTTTAAAACTCATGACTAGGAAATAGGTCTATTATTTTTTAAATAATACTAGTTGAGCTTATTCATGATAAACGAAATTTGCCTACCTTTAAGTATTCGTTATATACAATTTATATTATATTATACTATAGTATAAATGTATTTGATTTTATCTGATGCTGCCATATTAAATATTTTAAATCATTGTATTTTTTTTTTTTTTTTTACAAAGTGGTGTTATTACTTTATATATACTAATAACGATAATAATATTACTAGTTATACGTATAATTAAACAGCATACGTATTAACTGATGATTGCTCGTTTAACTTTAACTATAGTAAATATTTTATTATTTATGACTATTATAGGTAGAAATCCACGACCCATATGCGTACCGATTTTTCCACCCGCCTGGACCAGGAGTAGGGTGTGTTTGAAATTCAGCAATGTGTACTTCGTGGGCCGCAACGTTCATGTGTGTTTGAGCATGGAAGCACAAACCGAGAAAAAACCTGTGTTTAATGTAGACTTCAACTGCGTCCGGATGGGCACCCAGGGCGTAGCGTTGCTAAAACCAGAAGATGGTGGTGGTCTAGTGCCACCAATACCTCAAGATCCAGCTGATGCTCAAGCTGGAGGAACGACGACGGAGTCTGCGTGATGGCTGATCCAACTAAAAAATAAAACTAAGCCACCTCACACATAAGTTTTTCAAAAACTTGATTTGGATAGTTAAATACAATAATATACAATATGATTCACTAAGCATGCGCTCTCCCAAGTTTTTAATTAATAATGAATAATTTAAAGTTCGAAATTTTGGAATGTTTAACTATGTTTTCAAATTATTGAGATTTTTTTATAATATTTAAAAAGTGTTCTATGGCGTTACAAACTTCTATGTTTTAATTGAAAACCTCCATTTTTCTTCTGTAAGCTATGTAGTGGATAACAATTGTTATAAAAATATTGAAGAATATAATTCAAAATTCAACCAAACAGTTTTTAAGTTATTAAAATATTTATATGAGATAAAGATATAAAATTTAAAATGTGTTCATAATATTTAGACCCATTTTTATAAATTATAAATACTGATAGACTAATATTAATTACTAATATTTTCAAATTACCAATATAACTCATTATCGTGAACCTATTATCCTTACTAGATATACTAAGTTGAACAACTCAAGAACTACTCGATAGAAATGTGTTTTTAATATGTCAAGATTTTCCGAAAAATCATCTTCTAATAAAGTATTGTTTGAAAAGAGAGGAAAGTCGTAACTTGAAAAACAGAAGTTAATATCTCCACATAATTTTCCTTAAATAGAACAAAAATCTCAGAAATTTAAAAATATAGTCTAGAAATATATTAAAAATTCAAAAATTAATTTTAAATAACTTGCATTTAAGAAGAAAAAGGAAGGATCATGCTTAATGAATTACACTGTATAATGTTGTATTATTATTCCATGTAGCGTTTAATATTATTATAACTGGTAAATATTTGTATATTAGTCAATTTGACTCGTATAATAATATATGTAAATATATTATAAGTGACAACCGTTATTTAATAAATTATTATTTAAATTATATCAGTACTATTATAAGTTTATAATAGTATTATTATTGATAATAATCGTTATTTATTACTTTGAATCAATTCAAAAATGTGTTCACTGATATTATTGAAGTTATATGGTTCTACTATGAATTTTTAAAATGCACAATTATTAATAAAATAGACACTTTTTTAAAGTATTTAAGTCTTTTTGATATTTAAAATTGTATAAGATATATATACATATTATATATTATAATATTATTTCATATATGTTTTATACCAATAATATATTATTAACTATCAATAATTTAAAACAACGAATATTTATATATTAAATTTAATGATTAATAAAAAAGTTGTTTTTAAATTAAGCTTTGATCATTCGGGTCGTTAGCGATGGTGTTGATATCTTTGTGACTATAAGCCGTAAGGTATGGTATTGTAGATTTTCAAAACATGTGTTTCCGTATTTGGGACATAACATCGTTGCTTCAGTCCCGAAATAATCTATCTGTAAAAATTTTTATATCTTATAGTTTATTTTGCACATTCAGGAGAGAGATACAATCATTTATATCACATTGTTACTTACACTGTCAAATCTTAATACGTATTCACTGACGATTAAATTGTTGAATAATGAATAATGAATCAATATTTTAAGACCATTTCGAAATAGTTTACCCTATCAAGCCATAACGAATGTATTTATATATTTAACTATCAATATACTTTCTCAAAGTTCTAACCAAATATATAAATATATATATATATCAAATTTGCTACGCAGGTACCAAAGGTTAGGTTCATAATGTTTGCCCATCCTCCTTAGTAAAAATCAATTAAATTGATCACTCTTCCCAGAATCATTATCAAATTTCTTAGCATAGAATACGCAACAGAATATACTCGTATTATAATCTATCGATTTAACACTTATAAAAAGTTACTTGACGAACATGCGTATAATATATATAATGAATATGTTCATTATATGAATAAATTTATAAATAAACCATTAATGTAAACTTAAACTTGTCTAATACAGACAAACGGTTCAAATATATTATTATATCACCATGTCAACGGGAACTTGGGACACAGTGATGTATAACAGGAAGTTATACTTGGTTATAAGAATGTAAGATTGGTAGAAACGTTAAGAGCAGAAATCTAGCGTATGCAAGCAAAGAAGAAAAAGGGTGCAAAATAGAATAGATAGGCTCTTTATCGATTATGGTCGTCATAACAAACACTAACTGTATGTTTGCTCTATGGATCACCGATCATCAGACACTCAGGTCGAACGACAACCCTTGTTAAGTGTAGATTTATTGCAAACAAAAAAAAAATCTAAGTTCTGAAACGTTCTAAATCCGCTAAGTAAAACATAAGAGAATTTCTCATAAAAATTAATATTTTAGATGAATAATCATTATTATACAAACATATTTAAGAATTTAAATACTACATATTATTATGATAAAAATGCGATCCAAAAAATTCAAATTCTAATATAATACGAGTATATCTCTTAAAAATTAATATTCGGGTATATTTAGCATAGCTAATAAATAATATAGATTTTGCACAAAATACTACATTAATAATACGTTTTTAATTCCAATTTAAAATTCAAATATAATTTTCTAAATATTAGATTTATTTATCATTAATCATTTTTAAACAATATATTTCTTTAAATAAATGGGGTCATCATATAAAATGAGTTTAATATAAATTATAATAATTAACACATTTTTTTATTATAATCAAAATGTAGTAATAATTTAATCTACTCATGGCTGTTAGTATTATTTTCAATACAAAATTATAAAACACCGAATTAAACTTTCTACTTATATGCGGGTACAAAATTTACATTTTTATTATTTATTACTGAATATTGATCGTACGTAAAGTTGAATACTTATGTAATTACATAAACAATTAATGACATTTGTAATAAAAAAAATATATATATATACCTCTACAACAATACATTTTAACACAGATGGAAAGTAATAACAAGACTTTTTCATATTATTTAGAAACAATAGTTTAATCCCCATTTTCATTAATTATTTGAATTTTAAAAAATGTACCCCAACCAACTCTTGGCAATCCCCCTAAAAGATTTAAAAGATACTAATAATATACACACCACGTGATCTTTATTTTTTTTTTTATCTTAAGTCCTAATGGTGTCATTAGAGGCGGATTATCCAAATTAAGTTTTTTTAATATTAACTATTCTGTGAATATTACTTACGCTTAGAGCTTGAAAATCAAATGGCTTTGGTTTCGAGATAAGGCTTTTTTTCAATATTCCGGTTTATGAAAACAATTCTCAGTTTCAGTTTAAGTTATGTGTACGATTTTTTCTAATTCATATAGATTTCTGTTATCAACTTAAAAAAATAAATAATATTTGAATTAAAGTTATTATATATAAGTAAGCAGTTCATAAAAATATAGAGAAAACTCTTGTTTCTATGATTATCAAATAATACACAATATCAAATTAACTCGTCAATATCATATTTCAAACCAAAAATATTATCAATTTAATTTATCAAAAATTATAGGTTTTTAACTAGTTGTTTAAAATAATTATTAATGTATTCATACTAGAAATATAACATTTTATTTTAAATTTTATATTAACAAACATTAATCTTTTATACAAAGTATTAAATTAGAAAAATAATTACTGAAAATATATAACAGAAAAATGATCTCCAATTACAGAATCTTAATAATTAGGGTTATAAATTGACTAGATAAATTTTTTATTAGTTTATTTTTAAGATATATGAAACCATAACATCTCTTTAAACTTCAAACTAAGTTATCTAGAAGTACATAGTAGTAGTATTGTTGTGAGATTTTAAATTTATACATTTGGGTAAGATAATAATTGTCGATGTAAATTTATATAGAATTTTATTTATACACTTTTTTGATCGCTATTAAAATATAATGCATTCAACACTTCGATAGTTTACAATTAAATTCATTGTATAATCTTATAAAAGTAACTTAACCTTATCTTTTTTATAAGGTAATTCTTAGCCTTGCTTATTGGATATTCTTTGTGTGATGTATAAATAAACATTGGTTATTTATTAGTCAAAACTAATAAGATCTAAGAAAATATATTTAATAACGTTTTTTTTAGAAGATAATACTATACTGAAGACATAAGTATATTATATTTTCTTTTTTATTTACGTATAGTGTTAATAACTTATTTTCTGAAAAAATAAAATGCATATACTCAGTAATATACCTATAATAGATTATTTAACATGTAAAACTTTATTATTTAATTTGGTAAAAGTATTTATCAAATCATTTGAATAAATAAAAAAACTTTTTTTACCTTTTAATAATTTTCAAATATTTATGATTTTGTCAACATTCGAACTTAAAATACTTATAAAAAAATGTGCTTATATATTTTCATTATTTTAATATGTTTTTAAGAACAGAAATTCATTAAGAGATCTTGTATTAAATTTTCAGGCCTTTTTATAGAGCACAAAATTTTCAACTTCAAACACCCATAAAAAATACAAGTAACTTAACAATATATTTTTTTAAATTCCAGTAAAAAAAATTATGAGAAATCTTGTAACAATTTTCAAATCTTTAGTATTTTAATTAAAAATCTTATGTATTTCAGCTACAAATAAATGTATATATTTTCTTTATTTTAACAAATTTTTATTTAAAACACTTATAAAAAAATTATGAGTGTAATCTTTTATTGTTTAATTTTAATAAGAACAATTACTATAAATAAGAGTCTTGTGTTCTATTTTCAAACATTTTTTTTTTCACAAATAAAAACGCATCACGTTTATGTTATTCTATACAAGCATTAATTATTTTAAAAATGAAATTAATAATTACATAATTTTTAAAAGCAGTTGGTATCATTAACATAATTACCTTTTCTTAGTATATAACCGTGATAAATCTGAAATAATAATGTTGAGACTCTTGGTGAAATTTTTTTAAATATATTCCAGTATTCCAGAAAACTACATTATTTTAAAAAGTATAGTTCCATTCTATAAACTTAAATTTTAAAATAAACTCTACATTGAATCAATGATTGGACATATAAATGTAATATATTAATTTTCCCGTTTATAATAAAACATTGAATAATATTTTTTATATCCAACGCTTACCAAATACGGTTTGTACATTAAGATTTTATAATTATTAATAAAGTAATAACATTTATATAAGGTAGCTCATAATTAACGCACATAAACAATTTGCCAATATATAAAATGTGACTTATTGCAATATATTTTATGACCATGTGTAATCAATAATAATAATAAATAACAATCAGAAACTTAGAACTTAAACGCTACATACATCAAACTAATCATTGAACCTACATCATACGTGGGTTTAGTGTAATGTACTGTATAGTTTATAATGTTTATGCATAGTTTTAAGGACGTTTAATGTAAATTTAGTGATAAAACCCGCAGTTAGACAAACTAAGCCTTAAAAAAGATGTATGATATATTCGCGTTGTGTTATTATTAAGCACATTGTTATTGTAGGACATCGGACGGATCGAAAACAAAAAAGAAAATCTATCAATACTACCTACATCATAAAACACTGTAAATGGATATTTCACGCGATTTCGTTGTTTTTACTTTACTATTGTCGTACATTTTTGTTAAACATAGTTATACGTACACACATATTTGGAATTCAAAAGGTAAGTTTATTTTACCCATTTTAATGAAACAAAAACGTAATTTAAAATCGCAATTAAAACACAAACTACATGAAAATCAAATTATCCATACTTACATCCTGGAGTAGGTTTTAAAACTTTAGTATTTTTGATTGTAAATATATTAATTTTATTTAAATACATGAATTTTAAGTATAATATAATAAATTAATCAATACATTTTCATGATTATTCTGAAATATTTAATTTAAATGTGTTAAATACATTTCTGAATCTAATTTTTACAAACTCTATAAATCGAAAAATGTTTGTGTATATTATAAAATACTGTATAAACTTATATTTTAGATTTTTTTTTTAACAAAGTGCAAAAATTAAAAACCTACAATAGCAAAGATTATCAAAAAATATGATATGATAAAAACTTATCTAAAAATATTTTAATTGTAAATTATAAATGGAGCGAAGGATCTACTCGTATATTAGTTTTTCAAATATAAAATTTATTTTTTCAATATATTCACAATCACAACTATACAGTATTAAATTATATATTTGCAACACTTAAAAAAAAATTTTTATTTCTGTACAACGTCTATCTTAATTGTTAACTAATGCAAACAATACTTTAAAACGTAATATTTAGATTTCAAATTTTCCGAATTACTCTAAAAATAATGAAAAATTAAAATTATTTATCATTTTATGTAGGTACAATAGTCATAAATACGTATTATTGTAATAATAAATATTGATTTAAAATGTATTTAAAATTAGTCCATTTAAAAATTTTTGAATCATATTAAGCCAAAAAGACTGAAATATATTTTTATCAAATAAATAAATCTTCTGTTATTTTACAATTACGATATTTTTATAATCCATTTCTTCACTTATTTTTAATTAAGTACATTTTAGTAAGTTAAATATTTCTAAACTGTGTTAATTTTATTCATTTTAGTGTTCTAGAATAAAAAATAAATAAATAATAAAATTGAATTATTTATCTATCGCGAAAAATTATTGATGAAATAATAATAACTGATAGTAAAACTCTTTAAGATTTTAATTTTTATACATAGAACAGCTTGATTTTATATTATATATAAACTTAAAATTCGTAAAATTTACATTTATTTAGTAATATAAGAAAAACAATTGTGAAAGATAGTATTACAAGTTAATAGTATTTATAATTATATATTTATACTACACTTAATTTCTTGTAATTTAAGAAACATATTAAAATCTTCTAATTAACAAGACAGAAAACTATTTAAAATGATTACCTCTCATAACTTTGTAACAAAATACAGTGTAAATTTGTCAGATATGTAGTAGAGCCATTCAAAATTAAATATATTGATTTGTTACAAACTCCAACAGATATGATATCTTACAGAAAAAAATAAAAATAAAATTATGCATTATTAAAAAATATTTTATTCAAATTAAAATAATTAAAATAAAATCATAAATCATAATATTATATTATATTAATAATTATATAATATTAAAATTGTATAATTATATTATAATTGTTAAAAAAACATAATTATTTATATCATTATCTAAAGTTGGATTCTATTGTGCAATACCAACTTAGAAAATGTGCTGACTTAATGATCCTTTAAAATTTAACAGTACAAGTACTCAACTATAATAAACAAACATAAATTATTTACACCCAACAAACCTATTGGTAGCTTATTAAATATTTTTATATTACTCCCTAAATTTATTGGACTTTATTTTCATTAGTAAAGCTTTTTAAATTTTTAACTACCAACTATATTCCAATAGTACAATTATTTTAAAGTAGCGATTTTTTTTTTCAAATAAAAACCTGGGGTGCTCTAACAATATCCTACAAAACAAGCTCAACAGTTTTTACTTAGGAATAATTTTCTAAAATAAAGCTGTGCTATTAACAGCACAAACTTACAAAAGCTCTGCACATTTATTAATAAGTTACTATTTAACATTTGTTTATTCTATTAATACATTAATATTTGTAAATATATTAGCATATTTACAAATATCACATTCTAAATTTCAGTATATAATTGACCTGCAACGCCGGATAGGCAAAGTTGGCAAAACATTAACCTACTGAGTTTTAAGATTTCTAACGTTTGATTACAACTACAGGTACTGTATGGCTTAATAATTCAATTTTATTTTATTTTCTGCTAATATTTGTACTAATTAGTCTTTATCGTAAAAAAATAAAATCACGACCATACAAGTATAACCGGGGTATATTTTGAGCTGCTCACCAAGATTTTCTCGGTAACTCACAGGCCTAATCCGGGTCTGTTGACTTTACATTATTTAACCCTAAAGTATTCGAAATAATTGTATTTAATACCTCTAAATTGTAAGTCTTACTTATAATAAATTTACATAGTAAATACCTGCACAGTTATTACAATACCTTCACACAAACTCAATAAACTATCGATATTCATTCGTATCAATGATGATAGATGATAATACCTTCATTAGACATTATTAGCCTAACAATGTTGGGTTTACAAATTAAACATTAAACAATATCCATTAAGCTTCGAGATATGAAAACAGAAACAGTAAATTATAAAAACATTTTATTTTAAAATAACTCTGTACAATGGCAAGGCTCAACTCAAAACAAGAAAAATATCTGTATTTACTTAAATACTTAAGTATAATTAAACTAACAGATAACAGTTTATGCTTTAAATGCGGATAAAATACGATAACCTCGTTAAAATCACGATTAAACGGGATTATTCGAGTCAGTGTAACAAATTATTAAAGAAACCGCGATGTTGTACATACGTTTCTGTTCTCTGACGATACCTATTTATTATGACCGTTATTTACGGTCCGTTTGCAACGAAAATGCATTATTTCTCGTGCACTATTGTACGAGTCGTGTGAAATACGTTTTCCAATTGATTGTTAACACACGCTATTCGTATAACGGGTCAACCGTTAAAATTATTTTCCGTAAGGAATGTTTCCTACGCAAGACGATTATAATCAAATAATACTGTGTTAAACAGATTAAAGCAGTGGCTCGAAATTCGACCTAATTATATGTTCATAGTTTATATTATGTTTGTGTATCTATGCAGTAAATTATTAAATAAAGTCAATAATTATAGATAGGCACTCGTATGTCCTGAATATAAAAACCAACTTAATATATTTATAATAACTATAATTATAATATTTACCGAAATATATTTTTTTTTAATTACTTAATCCTTATATAATGATAATATCTGAAAACCAAAAGTTAAAGATTTATTTACCAAAATACTTTAAATATCCATTAACAGTTCTATTTTTAAAATTTAAAATAGTAAAGTAATAATGTTAAATTTACCAAACACTATCGAAAAAAATAAGTAATTAATAATATTTCTTTGTATGTCAAATTTTAATTTTCTTCAATCTTATAAACTAAATTTATTTTATATTTTATTAAATTTTTTTATTGCCTCTTTAACTTGAAAACTAAAGTCTATACCAAAAAATTGGCTAAATCCTAAAATACGCCATAATATATATGATGTATAAGCATGGGTATAACTAGGATTTTAACCTTAATTTTTTTTTATTTTGCTTTTACCACATTTTATAATAAAATTTACACATTTGGTATATTAAATAAAATTTAATTTGAAGCGCGAGGGAGTGCAAGTTTATCAAAGGATTGTTGAATCATTTTGATATAGTTAAACTAGTTAATTTTTTGACCAACCAATTGCGTATTTTCATACGCAAAAGCATATAAATATCTGCCCTAATTATGTCTAACGGAGTGTACACAATTCAATTTACTGTTCCACGAGTACGTCCCAAATACATAAAATTTTTATTAGGTATATGTACAGAATGATACAATAATAATGCGCACTGACGATATTCGTACCATCACATTTAACCGTTGAGATTTGCGCACAGGTTTATTTTTTTATTTCGAAATTATCGCTGTAATATTATTAGCTATCTCGGACGGGTTGATTAGTAGATATAGGTAAGTAAGTACACGCGCAATGTGCGTTGTACTTATATCAAAACCGGAACCATTTGTACTCGCTAATATAATACTACATGCAGCATTGCAGTTAAATTCACATAGTATTATTATGTTTTACCGTCGTTGGATAATAAAATTGTATGCCGTGGTTGTATCAAATCTCTAGAAACCAACAATAACGGTCATCATACTATCATAGTGAGTAATACCTGCAGTTCCTCGTTAAAATACAAAACGTGCTTTGTAATAATGTGTTATTTTTAACTCTACCGTCTATTTTACACTTAGTTCGTATTTATTATATAATAATAATTATAATTTTTATTATAATGTTGAAATTTTATTTTGATACAGTTATCTATTAATACATCATAAACATAAAATAATTCTATTAAAAATCATTGCAAGTTAAATACTAGTAGTAATAACATTAAGATTATCTTTTAAATTATATCATAATGTTTAGTTAATTGACATATCGATAATAAGTAATTAAAATCAATATTATTGTGGAAAAAATATAAAAATTGATGTTATATTCATTTATTTTAGACTTGATTCTGTCTCTCTGATTAACTTTTCTTTATAATACATGTCTAATTTAATTGATTTACATATGCGAGAGTTCATTGTATTTTAGAAAGTAATGTAGATATGTGGTGGTTATTACCATAACATAACTTAGTATAGGCTTTATTTTGTACAGTAAAAAGTTTGCGAATTTTTCACGTTTGGTGTCGGTAATATACTAAAAAATTTAGTACATTTAATAAATGTGTATTTAAATATTATGAATACCTTAATTTTATTCTATTAAAAAATGTTATAACTGATATTTTTTTTGGCATTTTTAAAATACACTACTAACGTTCTTCCAAAATCTGTTAATAATAAATGCGCAGTTTAAAATAGAAATTTAATATTATATTATAAAAACAAAAGATCTATTAGTTTTCACAATTATTTTTAATTTGCTAAAAATAATTTTATCGTAATAATACAGCACAACTTAAAAATCAAAAAAATAAATATTATGTAAGCACGTTTGCTAAATAACTAGTGTATATTATGGTCCTAGTAATTATATCCTAAATATTATGTCATTACTAATTAATTTATAGTATTAATTACATTTTAGCTTAACTTATGACTTTAATTAAGAAATCCCTTTTTAATTATATTGTCAAACCATTAACACTACAGTTTGAAATATGTAATAATATAAATCACCACCAAATATGAAACCATATTTGAACATACCATACTTAAACAATATTTATTTAAATCAAAACTATAAGTACTAACAGATTTAAATAACTAAATTGCATCATTATGATTACTTGATGGTATATTTATAATTTTATAATTAAAGATTATATTAACCCAATTAAAAAATAATAATGGGCTCTAATATTTAAAATCTCTTTAGTTACTTACTTTACTATTCTTATTTTACTTTTAATTAACTTTTCTAATATTAAATTTAACGTAAGTATTCTATAGATTTTTATGCTTATAAATAAAAATTGTTTTCATTTTAATACAATATAATTACTAAACACATAGATATCATAATTATAAATTATAAACATACTATTTGTTTACGATTTTCTGTTGACATTCTTTATATATTTTTAAGGAATTTAAGTCTGTTTTTGTGTAAAATTAATAAATAAATAAATAAATAAATAAATAAATAAAAATATTTTAGGTGCATCTTAATATTAATTAATAATAAATGCTTCCTAAATAATGAAACCAATTACATGAGAAAGAATTAAATCAATATGAAAGAAAAATTATAAAACAAGTATTCAATGTGCACTGAAAAAAAAACTATTTAAAAATTAATATTTTAATGTTTTAAAAAAAAGAGTCAAATAAGAAAACTTAAAACTTTTTAGAACAAAAACAAATAAGTGTTTATATTATATATATAATATATACTTTCCAGTTTTATTTTAACAGATAGCAATTGCGTTTAACCATACATAAATTATTGTTTACTGACCAAGGAAATTATGTGTGTCAAGTTCATAAATTACATTTTAATGCCTTACAGAGGCAATGAAGACATTTTCAAACGATTATGACTGTAAAATCTGTAACTAGTAAACGTTTACTGATGAGGAAATGTGGTATATTTCAAATTAAAGGGTTAAACAACGAGTAAAGCCACGAATTAATTTAAAATTTAAGCGTTTTTTGTAAAAAAAAAATCTCAATTTCAGTAATAAAATTAAAAACGTATCAATGATAGAAGGGGAATAACCTCAATTCTAAACTAAAAGTTATTGCGGGTAATTAGTAATTAAGCTATATTTTATCTACCTGCTTCAAATATAATATTTATTAACATTTTATTGGACCAAAAATAACATTTATGATATATGTTAAAGGGTATAGTAATTGAAATTTTGATTGCAGCTGTAAATATAATTTAATAATAATTTAAATAAAATACAATTTAAATATATATATATATATATTATATAATATGAAAATAAATTTATAATTTAGTCATGTGATTATAAATTATTAGTCAAAAACAAATATGTTTTTTTTTAATAATATGATATATCAACGGTTTTTACAAAATTAAAATCAAATTTGATTTGATCTGATGTAGATGAAGACTTTTTCGCAATATTTATTTATTTTTTATATGTATAATAATATAAAATATCATATTTTTCAAATTAAAGTTCGTCTTTTAACTTTTATTGTACTTACTCAAATTTTTGTTTTTACTTTCAATTAAACAACTAAAAATGATACATGTGGGATATGTGACATAAAAAATTGTAAATGTGCAAATGAAAATAGAAAATAATTAATAGCATTTGTAATTTAAGTTTTAGTTACATAATTTAAAGCCCACACAATATTTTTACATTTGAAAATATAAGAATCAAAAATATAATTGATAAATTTGACCAATTACTTAATTGAACCACAACAATTGTTAAATACCGAGTCAATCTTTTATGAACGTAAAATTTTAGTAGCTTAGTTACCATATCCTTTTTAAAAGTCACCCTTTTTGACCAGCCAACCGTTATCGTACTTGATAATAAAATATAAATAAAAAATATTTTCAATAATAAAATATATAATGTATTTATCATAAATCATACAAATATATTGAATATTTTATTTAGACTTTTACCTTCAACATATTTTAGTAATAGCCCATAGATTTTGCTGGTGAAAGAAGTACCCAAAGCGTTGTTAAAATATCTGAGTAGTCAACAATTTAAATATTAGGAACGTTTGGAGTGGCTTAAAAACACGCTGTTACTGTTACTCGTGGGACGAATGATCGGCAAGTGTAGGGGAGCAAACACTAGGAATAGGTATACTATAAAACTGGGAATTCGAAATAAAGTGAATTCAATTAGATTGGACTAAATTGTAAGGATGTGATATAATTGGATTATACCTAAATATGATTCATCAGTGTAAACAATATAAATATTTTAATCTTCAATGGCAGTTAGTAATCAATTCGCCCTGTACTAGCATAAAAAGCGTACCAACATCAATTATATATAAATTATATTTACATAATACTCTGTCGCATTTTGTACTTCTTAGTCATCATTGCCATAATCGGTAAATGTTGTGATACTTCTAACCAGATTAATTAATTTTAAATTTTAGATCTAGTCTCTAGTGTATTACTTATGAATATATACCAAAATCAGATCTATTCAAGCTACATGTTGTTTTAGGACCAGCCATCTATTACACTATCACACAATAGTTGTATACATTAAACGGTACATGATACGTATCTGTAATTTTGATCAGATTAATGTAACTGATTGACTGTAGTAATTTTTTAAAACTCTTTCATTCAATAACCCTATTTGAATGGTATACAAATTCGGATTTTATTATTTTCATAATATATAGCCTTCAGTCCGCCACTTTGGTTAGGTATTCTAAGCATTGTATTCCCTAAGTCACTATACTATCAAAATAACTAGAAAACTTTGACGTGTGTTTTGTGAATATTTAAAATCAATATATTTATACATAACAAATTTGATAATAATAACCAGAGTTTTAATTTTTTTTTTATAACTGTGAAAAATAAATTACTTGATCTGAATAAATAAACTACAAACTATTAACTGATAATGTTTAAATAAAAGCTAACTTTAATATTTTAAGAATTTATAGAATATTTTGCTTACCTATAAACATGATTCATAATTAATTACTTAAATTTTTAAGCTTGTCTTATTATTTATCTTTGTCCATTGTATTGTTGTATTAAATACAAAACAAATTTTAAAATAAATGTTTACGTATTTTGTAGTTGCAGGCACTGACCATAAATGGTACGACATATATTATGATGTAATAACAAGTAAAAAGATACCGATAGTTCAACGGCTGGGAGATCAACAAAATGAATCAAGTATTACACGATTTGGAAGTATACCATGTTCATGCCAAGATTTGACGTGCGGTTGTTGTGCACAGTTCAACATACGATTTTTCGATTACAATAAAAAAGGTCTATTTTAATAATCAATTTATTTTACTAAAACATTTATTTTTTATTTTTCAACAATAAATACGAAGCAAGAATAAGTAAACATACCCTACTTGACGAGAATACCTATTATCAAAATTAAATTTTCGAGGATATTATATGATAATGTTTTGAATGTTTCCTAATACAACGATATTTCACTTTGTACCATTTAAAACTTAAAAGTGAAAAATGTTCTGCATTTTAAAGAATTATAATTTAAAAAAACTTTTCTATATACATACACCTACTAATAACTAGTGTACAATCATCAATTAGTAATAATATAAAAAATTTAGTTAAAATAATTTTACCTTGATATAAATATGCAAAAGATATACATCAAAAAGTGACATTAAAAATATTATAAATTAAATTCTTGTATATTATACTATAAACATTTTTTTACACAATAAACAACACAAGTTATAAAATTAAAATTAAAATAAATAAGTATAAACATAAATCAAGTCATTGCAAAAAACGCATAATTGAAGTACAAATTCATATTCATAATATACAATATATTTTGATATTCATGTAGTGCTAAGAACTTCTATAAATTGTTCAAAACCATCTGACATTTTAACTGTATGCGTATTTATGACTTCTTTAATACGCCCGAGTATTTCACTTTACTAAAATATAAATAATGGTACTACATTTTACATTTTATCTTTTATTTCTCGTGACAACAAAAAAACATTGAGTCTTTTCATTTTAGTGGTTTTATAATATTCTAACTACCATAATTATTATTTATTACTAAACATTTATCATTTAAATTATAATATACTTAGGTATACATTATTATTTTAAAGTCAGCTAGTTTTATATCAAGATAAAATTATGTTAAATTAATACGATTTATTTTTTCACTTCGCGTATAATAATGTAAGTCAACTTTTTAATAAAATTTAGATCAAAAATAAATACAAATAACCTATAAATAAATAAATATCATATAAATGTAAAATTCCTATCAACATTTATAATTAAACATCATAAAACAATCAATAATCAAAGTTTTCAATTCAATTACAAACCGATAATATATCATATTTACTTAAATGATATACAAGTATAAACAAGTATAAAGTATAAACATTATTATTAGGTATTCTCAAATGTATGTCCCATAAGACAAAACAAAAATATAAGCAGCCTTATAAGCAACCTGTAATTTATAGTGCACTGCTAACTCTCAAACTTAAAACAATATTCAATTTAAATACAATTTAACTTAAACTTTGATTTATTGATACTGTTAATTCATTAAACAGCATAGCTTACATTCTAAAAGTTGTATTTAAAAATAAATATAATTATTATGACGCTAATATTAATCAGTTCATATCTATAGTCAAACCAAATACTTATATTTAATTAACCGTGATGGAACGCTTAAAGTGTACGTGACATGATTCTCAATAATTATTGACGGTCATTGACGGTTGACCAAGTTTGACAACTAAAAGAATAGAGAAAGTTTGGTTAACTGTTTCGAAGAAAATTATATTGCCGATAAGTACATAGTTTTTTTTTCTCACATTCTGAAGTATTCAATTTTGTTTATATATTTCTTCAATTTAATCCCACAATATAAATATATCATTTAATTATATTTTTATTTTTTTTGTATTTAAATAAAGTCATGAAGTGAGATATAGAATATAGTTACCATATAATATATTACATAATTAGTAGGTTATCAAAGTTAATTGTGTTATAACTGTTACAGGTTTAACACAAAAATAACATAAGCATATATATATCATCGAAAATATTGAAATTTGTAAAAAAGTAAATATTTTAAAAAGAAGATTTTTTTCATTAATTTTATTTTATGTTTAAAAACATCAATAATAAATCAATCTCATTTTTAATCAGAGCATTAGACAGTACCAAATAACTAAAGTACTTATTATTTATTATTTTTAATTCTTTTTTTTTTCTTTTTACTAAAATAAATATAAATTTTTTCTCTCAGATAAAAATAATTAAACATTTAATAAAAATAACATAAGACAACTATTAATTTTCATAAAAAAAACTTAAACTTCAAGACCAACATAAAATTATGTTAATAATAATAAAAATATTTCTTAGATACAAAAAATACAGCCAAAATTAACAAAAATTTATAAATATTAATTTACATTATTTCTTTTTATATTTTTAATACTTAGCAAAACTTATATTATAAACGTAATTATAGGTTATTAAAAAAAAAAGGCATTTTGATATTTATTAAGTAGGTATTTTATTTTGTACTAATATTATTTTGAAATGTGTGTATATAATAATTCATAAATCCTAAACATTTATACAAAATTTAATAAAAATCGAATTAAATTTTTGAAATTGCATTGTATTTTAAAGAAGTCAATTAGTAATAACGGTATTTTTAATCTCATTACTCTTTTTTTGTCCACAATATAAGAATAACCGTTAGTTTTTAAAGTTTATTTTAGTTTTATGTAAAATATTATGTGAATGAAATATGTATACATAATATTTATCCTGTAGCAGGGTTTTTGGTGAGGTTGTAATTTAAAAAAAAAAATAACAAATAAAGGCCAACCAACTAACATAGCTCGCAGGCAAACAAGGATACTAATTGAATGTGACAGCGAGATGAAGAAATATCGTCCTTGTAATCTCAGTTTTATTAACTTCGTACATGGTCCCGTACTTAACGCGTAGTAAACCATGGTAAATTATATATTTTACTCCCCAAGATACACGCAAAGCCTGGAATTAATATAACCTAGCACCCTGCAGTAAATTAGTGACGCCAAAAATCAAATCAATATCAAATACCAACGCTTTGGTTTGTTTTTATGCGCAGGATGTATGAATTTCACATACGATCCTCTTGACTTTGCAATCACGGGCAACATGTTTATGGACGAAGAGTCACTGTACGAGTACAAAATATCCGGTATGTATTATTTAATGAATACATTAATTGTATACTTGTAACTTTAATTACAATTTACAAGTATACAGTCCAATAGCACCAATTAAGATTAGGTACTGTCCAATCAATGTAATCAAAGTGGTCTATTTTACCTTTCAATAGTTCCAAAAATTCCAATTTTCAAATTTAATATTGAATATGGACTTTTAGAAGTGAAAATTAATATAACTTTTATTAAGAACATACAAATATTTGAACTTGAAAATTGAATTGACGTACACATTTGTTAAACTTTAGCAATATAAACATTAAAGCAACTTAAACTCTAACTAAACTACATTATAGATCTGGAACAATGTTCCTACACAATTCATACCATATTGTTTATGGTTATTAAAAGAAATCAACTTATAATGTTTGAATATTTTTTCTTACCATAACAATAAAACTTAAATATTTTAATCTTAAATTTTGTCTACTATTAATTTTACTAAGATGAAAAAAGATGAATGATAACTGAAATATAATTATATGAATATTATTGAATGTAAAGCTATGTTATAGTCGTTATGGATGACGGGGCAAGATATCTTGATTAAAGTTTCCCTTAATTCTAGGATAAAAATGGCTAAAAATATTTTTTTACATTATTAGTTACATTATTAGTAAGAGTAATATATTTTTTTTATATATATATATATATAGTTAAGTAAAATAATACAATAAGAAAATTAATCGTGAATAATATTAATAAAGTAATATTAATGGCGAATAATGTATACAGACTATACCTTATATTAAATTATTCAATCCGTTTACAAAAGGAATAAGATGTTAGATATTGGAAGATCTAGTTCTAGGCTTTCGAGTATTTTATCACTTTATCAGTTAATTTGCTTCGATTCCTTGAAATTATTTTTAAAATTTAAATTTTGTATTGATGTCACACAAATCTACATTTATTAACTAATATTAAAATATTAAGTAAAAAAAAATGTCTACTGCTCCTGTAATTTATAAATTATATTTATTTTTAAAATTAACATGTATATATTTATATATACACGATATACAATATACATGTTAATCTTAATAATTACATTAATATCTGTTAAACATTTTTGTTTTATAAAAAATAAACTATTATGTACAGTGTTTATGATTGTATGTCTAATATGTCTATGCCCTAATATAAATCAGGAGGTAACAAATAAAATCTCTACCACAAGCTCATAACCTTAACGTAACTATAATAACAGTGCTCAAATTGGTGGTGAGAGGTAGAGATGACTAAGTACCTAAACTAAATTAGTTTTGCAGAAATATTGGTGTACCTTAATATTCTACTTTTTCATCAACTACACAAGACACCAGATGTCATTGTATCTTATGAACTATTATATAATTACTTCATTCATACGCAATAATGATTGATTTTTCTTTATTAAATATACAAATACGAAACTTTACAGACAAAATACAATATGTACAATAAGTAAATTTATACGAAGGAATTTAAAATCGCGAGTAGAAAAGTAACTTAATAGAAGCATGCGACACCCTAGTAAAAATGATTTGTAAAAAAAAAAAATGTATACCTATAGTCGGTCAAATAATTCTCTAATATACCTTAAGAATTAATAACCATGATTTAATAATAGTTCTATCATATTTGTATTTATACTTCACTATGGATATAGGTACATTTAATCTATCTATAATTTCACTCACGATTTAAGTTAGACATAACTTAATTAATTATTTGTGTATTCGTGTTTAATTATAATTATTATTTATTTATTAAGGTATCATTGATCGTTATTTTGAATATTTTTACGTAAATCGCTTTAATTTCTATCTGTAGTCTATTATGAATCAAGAAATGTTTGTATTGTTTGTTTTAAAATAAATTACAAAATTATTTATTTCCATATTTCATTAACAGAGTTTTTAAATTAAACAAAGTCATGTACCTGCCTACTTTTATTTTTCCAATTCGAGTACTTGCTAAAAATATAAGTCATGCCTAATGAATAACACGTAGTATGTTTTATTTATTTATACACGTGTCACGTGTACAATATACAAGATTTTTTATGTTAGAAAATTTAATATTTATAACAGCTAGATATTCGTATTACCTGCAAATATACTTATTTAAATTTAAAAATATTCAATATTATATTACGTATATTATACTTTTATTATTTTTATCGAGAATAGACCATTATATTATGTATAACTATTGAAAATGCTTTTTAATATTTGTATTCTTTACAATTACACGACATGTATTTGACATGTAATTATGTATAGATTAGTAGTATTGCACCAATGATTGTGCATCGAAGTCACATAATATATATATATATATTATGTTGTTATTAATTTTAAATAAAAAAAAATTATTTAATAAACCTATACTTGAATTATATGCAACAGTGTATATAATTTCAATGTCTTTCAATATGTATGTAGTATAAATATATACTTAAACTGGTGTTGATCCACGTAAACTATATATATTTACAATTATTATTCCTTACAGGGGAACACTCCCAACATTTTTCAGAACCAAAGGTAAATCATTACGAAAGTCTATAAATCATTATAACAAAATATTTTTCATAATTTTGATAAAAAAATAATAATCACAGAGATTTATATATTTTTTGCAATTTTGACCACATAAGATCATTCAAATTCATGATACCTCGGTGTAACTTAAATTTTTCACTTTCAAGTATTAAATAATAATATTCAGACAACTATATTAGCTGTACGAGATACGAAACTAAGCAATAAACAGGAAATAATTAAAGTACGAGTACTGAGCATTCAATTGTCCACAAGTAATAATTAATAAGGAATAACTTTAGTCATCGACCAACTCTACTATGCCACATCGATACCTGCAATACCTAACAGATTTCTACGAAGAAATTCGTGTACATTAAACTGCACACTCCGTAACATAATTACAAAAATGAAATAAAAGTGTATTACTAAAATTTCATGAAGAAAATTGTTTAAGCAATGATAGACCCTAATGAATAATGGTGAATAATCCTATAATCATGAATTATTATTTGACTAACACATAAGAATTTTTCAGGGAGCCCCGGGATTTTCCTAAGATAAGACTTGAGGAAAATTGCCCACTCTGAATGAGCCTGTTTACATCCTTTCATTTACTTAATATTTGTTTTCTTTATAGCTAAAAATCCACCGCCGGCATGTCTGCGAGTTCCTGTGCCATACTTACCGTCGGTAGACATGTGCATGAAAATGTTCGATATTTATACACCCGGCAGAAACTTGCATGCGTGTGTCAATTTCCTCACGCGCATTGAACACGCCGAAGTGCTCGTGTTAGAATTTGATTGTTTTGTGATTGGTCGTGACGGCGTGAATCTAGAAAAATATAATACGACCTCATCCACAATTACCACCTCCACTTCTGCCGCAGCTGATGCTACTATCACGACAGTACAGACGTACGATACGACGGCGCCCGACCTGGACATCACTGTCACGGAATTGAATGCACACTAATTACGGTAAACGCGAGGAGCAAAAATAAAACAACAATTGTATAATATTGTTCTGCAATTTATTTGGTTTTATTTGCACACACTAACAAAAACGCAATCGGTATAATGTTATTATGAGCTACAGGAAAAAATAATCCAAAAAAAGCAAAAATAGAACTTTTTATGTGAAACTGACGTACAACACAACACTTGAAACATAAATAAATATATTATATTTTTTTTTCACGATATAATTTCATCGAATAATAAATTAATAAATTAATAATAAGTTATATAATATAAATTATATAGTATTATGTACAACTTAACGAATAATAAAACGTGCGTAATTCATGCTATTCTTGAGCAGCGGTTTCTATACTTTTTTCATAAAATGTATCGTCGACTCATCGTCTGACGAGGACAATCTCATCCTTCTGTGTGTCCTGCCTCTCCTGTCGTTAGGCACAATAGCCACAGGCATATGCTTGAAACGCCTACTGTAGCTGTCGTCATCGTCGTCATCATCGTCGTCGTCGTCATAGTCCTTGCCGGCCGGTACGCTGCGGACAGTCGTAGACGCAGCCGCCGACACTGCAGCTGCCTCGGTGGAAGCTAATTTGTTGTCAACCGATTTGGTTGTGGCGACCGTCGAGTTCTTGTCAGAATCCGACATGCCCACAGCGCTTGCGGCCGTTTCGATGATGTCCGACACAATGTCACCGTCGTCCTCGTCCTCGTCCTCATCATCATCATCCTCGTAGTCCTTTTTTCTTATTCGCGGTCACTGGCGTGGGCACGGTCTCTACGCGGTCGGTAGGGTTGTCATCGAGAGGCGTGATAGCAGTTGGTCTTACTTCGGCAACGACTTCAGAAGATGATGAGACCGGTTCTTGGACGACGCTTACTGTATACGAAGTGGACGTCACTGATTCAGCGCTTGTTTGTTTCTCGCTTGTCACCTGTTGACTTGTTAACTGTTGTGGTGTAGTTATTTTTGATTTTACAGTAACCGCGGCGGGTTTGGCGGTTGGTTTAACGCTGGTTTCCGCCTCGTCTTCTTCACCACCACCTCCACCGAAAAGGCTGTCCAGGAAATCTGTGCTAAGTGCACTGAAACCAGTGTAATCACCGGTAGACTCCACATCGTTTTCTGAGTCCTCGTCCAACGTTTCGTCCTCCTCCTCTTCCTCGTCATCACTACCTCCGAGACCGTAATCGTCGTCATCATCATCGTCATCATCTTCCTCGTCGTCTTCGTCCTCTCCTTGTAATGTCTGCGATGCTGGCAGTGGCTGTGCTGGTTCTACTTTCATTCCTTGTGGCCCAAACCGGAAACATGACACTCTCAATGCGGCTTCGACGTCGTCGAGAGCTCTTAGCTCAAGCCCTAAACACGCTTTGAACTGATCTCCGTCCCTTGAGATACCATACACCCGACCACAGAACTTTGATATACCACCCGGTAGAGACATACACACGGGTTTTGGTTTCTTCCCAGATATGGTCGTGTTGCGTAAAACCCTGTCCCCGAAGCTCATCGTTACCATCATCTGATCGCCTTTTAAATATTTCAACGATGCACAACCTATAATGTAAACGTAATATGACGAACTTAGCTAAAAATATTGTTTCATCTAAAATGTATAGAATTTATAAAAATTTTATATTTTTTTGAATTATGATCCTAAATTTCATATTAAAATATAGAAAAATAAAATAAACATTTCTATATAGTATAACATAGTGGGCTTTTAAATGAAATTAATATATTTACTGATTAAAATATGAACAGTTTAAATTGTATAAAATCTTTTTTGTAACATTTTAATTTTATTAAATTTTAGTAACACACGAAGGGTAATTATTAACCTTAATTTATTTTTAATATGCTACTAACAATTTTATGGATTTCTTTCACTTAATTAAGTCATGCTATCGTTTATTTAATAACAAAAAAAAATCACAAAAATGTCAAAATATTATTATTTTTTTTTTTTTTTTTTATAAAAATTAATTAATTTCTACGTAATAATTAATGTAATTTTAAAATAGAGTAAAAAAAAATATTTTAAAATGCCTTTAATAATGTCTTATATAATCATGAACACTTGGCATATTAATAAAATTTAATAAAATAATTATTCTTATTTAAACAGAATAAATTACCTCGGGCGTGGAACTATATAGCCACTATGCCACTATATACTATGCACGTTATTAATGATTTATTATACCATAGAATTTTTTTTTATTACTTATTTTCAAATATATTTACCTGGTCCTTTAATAGGAACTACTGGCAATGAAAAGTCTCTGCAACAATTACACATAAGATTGGAACAAGCGCAGTATCGGTTTGGAGGAGCTGCTTGAGGGGTGGCTTGTCTAGCTCGACCCATTGCTTTTAAATGATCTTTTACATTATTTAATCCAGTATTCCACAGATCTTTATTTTCTGGAACTGAAAAAAAAATTAATTTCATAATAGATACGTTATAAAGAATACATTTACAATGTCCGAGACTTACCTACTCTACCATAAGCCGCAAAAGCTATGATCAAAAAGATCAACAGCAATTCGAATACGACTGATAGTCGCATTTTCATATAATTTGCTGACCAATTTAAAAAAAACTGTAATAAAATCAAAAATTTAAGTATAATGTAACGCATAGGTGTAAAATCAAAATATTTAACTTTCTTTTAACTAAATAATAACAGTTGGTTAGAAAATGGTGAAAGGTTCATATGTATCATCATAATTCTGAACTGACCTTGTCCTTAAAAAGAGAAATTCTCTTTCCGTCACCCAGAACGAGTTTTTCATCTTAGTATTATACCATAAAAATACATTTTAATAGTAGTCATTATTATCAATAATCATTCAACTACGCGTGTAATTTCAATACCATTGTATAGAATAGTTTTGCACTCAACAGAGAAATTTACATAGAACAATATTTTAGAAAACATGAATTTTATAGAAAAAATTAATTACTTACAGATTTATATTCAATGAAATTTATAAATATATATCATTCAAAAAACGATTAGCAGTTATTATTCTTTAATAAAAAATTATAATTGTTATAATTGTATAATTTCGTAATTAATGATACAATAAAGCATAATATTTTTTATAGAATTTGATTTTTTCCAACTATATATTAAAATAAGAAGTATATTCCAACTATTAATAACTTCTCCAATAGGTAACAATATTCTTTTCCTGATAATGATCAAAAACACGTAATGATTTTATTTATAAACGCTCTTTTATAAAATAACTTTTGTTTATGCGCTATCATAAATTCATAAGTATTAAACTATTATTATAACAAAAAAAAATAAAATAAAAATATACTTTATTTATTTATTTATTTTTTTTATCCTACTAATTTAATATAAATTATAAACTGTTCATAAATAAAGCTTGTCATTAATTTAATAAATATAAACATCAAAATGATTATGTTAAAATAAAAATTTTAAATATAATCAAACTTTATAATTATTAGGTATTATATACGATACAAGTAAAAACATAATATGTAATATTAAACAATATGAAAATTCTATTTATAGTTACAAGTCATTACATAACTTAAAAATAAATAGATAAATTAATAACTCAAAAAAAAAAAAATTCCAATTTAAACTTTTGTACAAATGATAAATATTTTCTCTCGTCAATTATTCCATTATCAATATTTAAAATTGTTCATTTTAATTTATCAGACGTGCAATTCATTACAGTTTACTTTTTCTCTATCAATATCGGAATTTCTTATCAATCAAACAATACCTTTTAAATCGCATAATTTTTTTAACTTATTGATTTAACGCATAAATATAATATATTTTATTAAATGATAAAAATAAACATTTGATAAAATCTAATACTTTTAAAATAAGTGTGGTACTTATTTAGATTTATGGCAATATATTAAACAAATATTTTAACTTCAATACGATTGCATAGGTACATAGAATATTTTTGAAATTAAGTTAGTGTAGTATCAATAGATTCCTCTCTATAAAGCTTAAAAACCAAATTAAATACACGATCTGATACCTAGTTTTATATTAATGTGTTAAAATATGAAGCATTCATTCAAAATGTAAGTGTTATTTTCTTTTCCACTAATATCGTCGTCATGTATTTTTGAAAGCATTGACTGATTACTTTATCTAACGTCATTTTATTTAAAATGTGTATAATGTCAAAAACTTACAATAACTCTATTCAGTAACCTTACATCATTCTACGTCACGTCAATAGACGTTCAGTGTTCACAAACATAAAAAATCTAAAATTTATTGAAACCTTTGGTTCTCTTTTTTTTTAAAAAAAAAGAAAAAGAAAAAAGAAACCTAAAAGATTATCTAAAAGGCACTCCCGTAAAATATGAATCACATTAAACTTTCTAAAGCCCACTCTCACTAGTGGTCGCTCAATCTCTTTTTGAGAAAACCTAACCCGATTGTTTACTGGAGGCGTTAAGCCCGAAGTTACTCGCGAAGTCAAAATAAAAATAAAAATATAAATATTGTAATAATAATAATAAAAGAATAAAAAAACACGTAACTTTGGTACTATATTCCGGCGAAGAAACACGTCTAGCAAGATACACGCTGGATGAAAAACCGCCTTGAACTCGTCTCTCGTGGTAGGAACTAAACTGTGACGAGTCCGGTGGAATTACCACGGCCGCCGTTCTTGTTCCGGGCTAACAACCGGGTCAGGTATGTGTGTCAGCGCAGAGACGAGATAGTATTCCCCACTAAAAAACCCACTCTCGTTCCGGGACGATTTTCCTTTCGCGCATACATAGCGCTATACGCAACCTCGACGGCGGTACCGGTGACCGTCTTACGTGCCGCCTGGAAGCTCATCATAGATCGACTACCCTTTAAAAATATAATGGACGGAAACAAATGCTGCCGTCTCCGAGTGATGCGCATAAAACGGAAAATATAAATTCACAGAGAACCGGTCTTCGTTATTTCTTTTTCCGACACACACTTCAACAAGTTCCCTCTCCAACACACAACAATAAACACGATATAACACACACACACACAATATTATCTAGAGTAACCGCCGACGCCACAAATAATAAAGGGATGAACGAAGACGCATCAGTTACTTTTTTTACGATCGAATTAAACAAAGCACAAGCGTTCTCAGGTGTATACCCTAACAATGATATCATACTATATAGATTATCCACAATAGATATCGTTGATGTTGTCGTTCACGCAATATAATCTAGACAATTTTAATGGGGGGAGGGCTCGCTTTTTTTCATTAGTCATACATTATGAATCAAGTTGTTACTGTTATTTATTACAGCTAATTCAGTGCATTTGACACATAATAACGATATCAAAGCTCATAAATATTTCATTTAAAAGTAGTGCGTGTTTTAACCAAATAATAAATAAATGTTTCGTTTATTTTGAATCAATTTATGCGACAAATAATTTTTCTTGTACCTACACAAATTGCCTTTTCAATGAACTTCTGAGAAGCGCCTTTTTCGCCTCTGGTAATTATTGTTATACGCCGTCCCAATTCGGTAAATAGTATACGCTATTAAAACATCGATACAGATTAATTGTCTATATTTTATTGAACACGATTTGGTGAGTCCCGCGTATTTCTGCGTACGATTTGTGAACGATATATTACGTTTATTGATGTAATAATATTAAAATTCGATAAAACCGCCGCAACGAGTATTGTACGTTTGGTTGACGCGTTTTCCATTGATGGTTGTGTAATAATTTTGAGAGGTTTGAATTTTTTCGGAGTGACAAATCCTGCAGAGCATAATAATATGCACGTTGCACGTGTCATGCGCAGTGTAACATTGGATACGACACGGCGGCGCACAGATCTTGTCACGGCTATAATAATAATACAATGTGTAAACGTATATTGATATACGTGATTCACGCACACGGGGAAAGTCGGTGGTGTGGTACCTAATGTGTACCTACGTACCTCCGGCCGGGTACGCGTGTATAGAAAGCGAGGCGGGCGTAGCCGCGCGGGCGTCAGCGAGAGAGAAAGCGAAATTTTTAGTCGATGCACTCGCTTCGGACGCGGTGTGATATACGCCGGCCGGTACCTCCATACCCATACCTGTACCGTCCCCGTATTGTCACCGCCGCCGTCGCGTCGTCACTCATACCTGAAAAGAAAGTGGTAAACCGGTGGGGGAAACAAGTGGGTGACCCGTTGACCCGACTGCCGGTATAGTATCGTTTAGTGACCGCCGCCGCAGACGGAACGGGATCGACTGCGTGTTGGACGTGTTTTTTATAGCTGTTGTTTTTGTTGTTGTTGTTTTTGTTGTTGCACTCGCCACTATCGTCGTCGTCTCGTACACAACACATCAAACGTCGTGCAAGCGCGATTCGTGATGGATCATCGTCGTTCAACAACAGCAACGTGGTGGTGCGCCTTGGCCGCGGTGGCGTGCACCGTCGCAGCGTGTTCGGGCGCCACCGTACCGCCGCCGCCGTCGTCGATGGTCACGGGTGAGAGAGCGCTGGGCCAAAAACAAAAAGTCGCGTCCACGTGATTTTGTGTAGAAAGAGCAAATAAAAAAAAAAAAAAAATTAAAAAAATAAATATATATAACAAACAAAATCACACCGCGTCGTATGAACGAAATACCTATTGTATTAATGTTGTCGTTTTCGGTTGGTTTTTGTTTGTTTTCGGTTACCTGTCCCTGCAGAACTGCTGTGGTCCGGGCTGGAAGGCGTCATCCAGCCGAGGAGCGGGCTCAGAGCCGACTCGAAACAAGTGCCGGAAAAACGGTGCGAGTGCCAAAGCCCGGAGCTCAAGTCGTGCGTCTGCTGCCTGAGAATGAGTCTGCCTTTCCTGGATTTGACCACGTCGCCAGGTGAGTAGCGTTGCGGTCAATGCGTCAATATTATTGCTGATGATAATTTCCGATCACGTGATCGCGCCGACAATCGTAATGATATTATTATTATATCCGCCGTGACAGCACATCGGGTCACCAAATGGCGCGGCCCGTGGACGAACTTAATCTGGCCGACAGACAAAAGATTTATTTTTATATATTTTTATTTGTTTTTATTATAGTCAGGTAGGTTTCCGTTAATTTTCCTTTCATTTTTTTTTTTTCTGATTTTGCCTCAGCTTATTTATTCGAATAAAAATGAACACTTAACTTCGATAGTTCCCCCCCCCCCCCCAACACTTAATCCTAAAGTCTTAAGGTGACCTTCTAAAAATATTAACTGATGATCCTTACCGTAAATGTCTCTAAACTCTATAGTCTATACTATACATGAATACAATGTCGTTGACGTTGTCTTGCGCGCGACAGTAGTTTTTCCGAATTATTATTATTATTTTGTTAATAAAACCAACAATCCTTGTGTACGTTTTTATTTTCACAGGATGTGTCAAGTTCAAGTACGTGCCGGATATCGAGTCGATAGCCGTGAACGTGACTTACGGTAAAGGCAATGTCCAGAATGGTATCATCAAGGGTAAGCCAATGTTCATCTATTATAATATTATTATATTATCATTAAGCCGTCAATATATAATTACATCGCACGTACACTCATTACGTGTTATTATATTATATCCGTGTAATAATTAATAGCGGAACCCGTTCTACACAAAATCGTATAGTTATTATTTTCATTATTCGATAGTTCTTTCGATTTTCCGGAGACATAATGTTTATACATCATAGGTACGTTGGATTTATTAACGGTCCAACGAGCAACAACAAATTATTGTTATACTACAATATTTGAATATTTTACATATTGTATGTGTTGTGGTCGACGTGACAATTACTATACGTCATTTTTTCCATGTAGGCTACACGTCAGACATAATATTATGTAGGAGGTACTATTTACTATCTTAGAAGAGATATAGACAACGATACTATACTACTTCAAACCCTAAACACCATCATGACATTGACAATGGCACGTGAAATCAAAATCGACTCGATCTCGGTAGTGTTTACAAAGAATAGGACAACAATGATTATTTAAATTACTTTTAAATCTAACGGTAAATAAATATGAGTCATATTTTTTTTCGTATATTACATAAGTGACTATTATAATACCAAATGTTAGTAATTGCTAGTTAGTATTCATGGATACTTTGTGATATAATCAACATAAAAAACTCTTTAGTTCTTAGATAAATATCTTGCCTTACGTTTCATAATATTTATTACTAAATCAAGTATTCAATTAACAATTTATCAAAACTATTTTGAAAATTAAAAATTTTCATACGCCTGAAAATTCTATTTGAAATTATTCTTAGTATACCTAATTAATCAACTTTTTATAAGCGCCAATTGTAATTAAGGGTTTTAGTTTTCTTTAAACTTAAAGTTAACTCCATAAATTTGTTATACGCTTGAACCGAAAAAAATATACTTCAAAATTTATCTACTAAAATAATTACGACCAAAAAAAAAGTCTGTTTAATGATCAATAAATTTATAAAACAATATATTTTAGAATCCTTATAATAAAGTAATACAATTTTCAATAAAGATGTATATAACCCAGTATATAGTTTTAAAATTTAATATTTTACATATTTCAGGAACTATTTTAAATGAAAAAATATTCTACCATTGTGCTATAAAATTTAAATAGTTAAAAATTGTGAACTACAAACTTGTAAAAATATATAGATAGCTAAATGTTTGTTTTTATTTAAAGCTGCGATAACAATATTACCTAAATTCTGCGGTCCTGCGAAGACATTTTTTGTCATACGTAGAATAAATAATAAAACGAACTTTTAACATTGAAAATTATATTATTTTAAATAATTTACATTTAAAATTTTATATTGTTATTAACAAGTTTATTAGAGTTGACAAACATTCAACATTCTTACACCTTCATTGACTTAAAAATAAATTTATAATTCTCAATTTTAAACTAAACTCATTAGTTACTAAGTATCAAAGTATAATATAGGTACATTGTGTTCAATACTACAATATAATACTGTCATTTCAAACTAATAACAATAATATAAATACCTAGTTTTAGATTTTGGAAAATGTTACATGTAATAGAGGTAATTTAATGTACCATGAAAATATTTTTTAATCCTCTCTTTAATTTCATCAATAGTTGATTAACTTATTCCGCATTTTGTTTTTTATGTGTTTTAAAAATATGTCAATTTTCACAAAATAATATCCGGTTGGATTAAATTTGTCACAATTTATAAGATACTCGTGTATAATAAAATCAGGAAATAGATGACTATATTAGTTACGGTTCGTTATAATTTAAAAAAAAATAGTTTAATTTCTACATTTTTACACTTTTAAATGCATTCTTTATACATTAATTTCATAAGTGGTGGATAGATGTTATTGTCATTTAAATATCTAATCATATTATTATTATCATTTAAAATACAAAAATATAAAAGAATTTTACAAAAATAATAAATTAACTTAAAAACCATAAACATTTAGTTTGTCTAAAGAGGATTCCTATCATTATAAAAATAATTTCTCGTTCAATATAATCTACGATATATTTTTATCACTTCTTATTTAGTATTACCTAGTAGTTAGTACCTGCCTGTAATATATAAATCTAAAAAGTGTAAAATTATCTTTATAGCATTTTTACTCAAATAATATTAAACGTTAATTGTATGTGTTGTTTCATTTATAAGCAATAACCTCTAATAAGTAAATACCATCTAAATGGAGCAGTAACTAACCATAAGTTAGGTATTAGATAAGTTATACTTAAATATTTACGAACGCCATAATTTATTGGATAGTAATTAATAAAAAGGTGTTCGACTAAAATTTCACAATCGTTCACTATAACCCAACTTAACTTCCACATCATAGAGATATGTGGTAGAACTTGTCCATATTTAAATAACATTAATACAAGTTTAATGAAAATATAATATTATGTGATTTATTTCGACTAGATTTATACACTTTCAATTTATTATATTACATACATTATATCCGTTATGTCTTTGCAAACAACTAAATTCACACTGCGTGTTACAATTTTAAATCATGTATCTTGTTTATCTATTTAAACTATAGTTTCTTTTACGATAAATAAGTATGTAAATTGCATTCGTTTGAAAGTTAAATTTCACATTTTTACTAACACGCCTTCACAGCACCACCGGTCATTATGATTTTGTTTTTTTTATTATTACAAATCGTATTAATTAAATATTTTAATTTTTTACTGCATGCACAGCATAAGTAGGTATTACAAGTTACAATAGAATATTTGTCTTATATTCATAATAATCTAATATTTCTAATCGTGATTCGTGAATAATAATATCAACTGTACATTGCTATCGAAGTGGTCCAGTATTATATCATGGTTCATGACAATATCAACACTAAAGATGAAATATTTACTTTAACCATTCAATAATAGTTAACATTAAAGACTAACGAGATTTTTCTTATAATTTTAACCCGGCCTTGAGGCAATAACATTAATTAATAATGCCTTTCCACAATGATGATAATTATTATCTTAACATTTCTTTGGCCTAAACTATATTGCCATACTTAGGTGCCTATGCATGCTATGTGCACATGAATACAAATAATATATATATATATATATATATATATATATATATATATAAATAGATGGCATTAGCTTATAATATTATATATAAATTAATACACACGATAGCATTATATGAACCTACATATATATCATTAGTTCACTAGGTAATACATTTTGAATTCATTTAATATTCATGATTACAATGCATGCGTTTAAGTTTCAATTAATTTTCTTGATGCTTTTGATTAATAAAATATTATCTTATAATACAAGTACATTTACTTTGTATATTTTATCCATAAATAATTTTAAAACAATGATCAAACCCTAAGAGTTAATAGTTAAATTTTTAATTAAAAATAAAAATAACCAGTTGTATTTGTAATTTATCCAATATTTAATCTGATTTTATCATTAAAAATATTAAACTTAAAATTCTCAAGTTTAAGTGCTTTATTATAAACATAAAAATCAAAATATTTCGGTTTATCGATATAATTAAAGTAGTTATTTTAATTTAATAATGATTAAAATATAGAGGTATAAAATATCTAATCATTGACATGTACTTATGCACATTGCTAAATAAATGTGTTAATTATTTTATAAGACAATTTATAATATGAAAAATGTTATACTATCTAAAATGTGTTTTCTCTTAGACTAATCAACCGTGAAAATGAAATATTTCATGCCAACAATAGAAACGTAATTGACCGAAACATTATAGGTGCTACTAAAGAAATTTTTCGATTTAGTTCTCAACTTTCATTTTTGTTCAATCTGTTTAAACCTTTGTTTTTATTTATTAGTTTCCATTTATTCATTAACTAAAACCATATTAATTTATATATTTATTTATTTTTTTTTTTAATATAACAATAAAAGTTTTTATAATCTTGTATTTTTATGGCATTTCAAGATTATATCACAAACTTATAAATACCTAGATACTTAATAGTACAAATTTCAAATAAACTTATTTTTTAAATACGTTTACCTACCTGTTATGTAATAATACTGATTTTCTCGCCATCTGGTCATTTTACTATTTACCAATGTACAAATTGATCAAGTACCTTCAGAACATTACATCTCGAATTATATGTCACAGGAAATAACCCAGAACCTGTGTGTATGGATGTGCTGGTAGGATTCGGTCAACTATGTGCTCGATTCGTGGGTAACTCATCTACGCCAAAAGACTTCGACGGTTGTTTAAAGTTAGAAGCCACCTTATTAAATGAAGTGCAAAACTCAATCCCCATGGGATGCTTTAAAATGGACCAAAATCGATTAATTTTCAACTCTACGTAAGTATATATCAATTTATTATACTTAAATACAAAATTTCATTTTTTCTCAGTTTATAAAATACGCGAAAGCGAATTAAAATTGTTTTTATTAATATAATATAACGTCATATTAATCAAATATTAGTTTTAAGTTTAAAAATAGGTATGCATAGTATATTATTGTTCACATCTGTTATAGATCAGCTATAACATGTTACATCGTGTTTTAAATAATACAGAATTGATTTTCGGATCAAATAAAATGTACCAATTGTTTTCAATACGACTAATCAATAACCTTATAAAAAAATCAAAAATACATTAAGTTTTACAATGACTGTAAAAGTGGTCTAGAAAAAATCAATTTAAAAAAAGCTAATTTAACATAATTTTATCATTATGAAAGATCATTAGAATTACTTCGTATGATAATTGTAAACTGTTGACATCCCGGGAACTAATTCAGTAATTAAGAACCAACACGTAGTCATCATATATTTTTGATTCAAATTAAAAATAATTGGGATACTTATAAATTCTCATCATCAAAAAAAAAATTTTTTTGTAATTGTGTGCATTGTGTGCATTGTTTGTAACATAAAGTTTAAATAATATTCAATACAAATAAGTTCCTACTAATACAATATAATTACTGGTATATAATAGCATTATAAATACTTTTAAAATAATTATATTTTAATTTATTTTAAGAATAAAATGGGTTCTTGTAAGTTATTAATAATTTTATTGTAAATAAGTAAAAATAACATTATATTTACCTTGTTCAAAAATTACAACTTGTGTGGAATTTTTAATTTATCATACTAATTATAATATTTATAGAAACATTTAACTGTATAGAAAAATTAAATTACTAAAAAATACAATTAAAAAATACCTAACTAATATACATATTTTTTTTTCACAATATTGCAATATCATAAATAATATTTTAGATTCTAAGCAGAGCGATTTTTATTTTTATATAATGTTTACAATCTACTCCCATAAAGAACCATAAATAAAAATTGAAAAGGTGAAAAAAATACAAATGAAACTTTTTATGAAAGACTAGCTGTCTATCTTTGATACTACCTATAAATAACAATATAGTTAATATAATTTTAAAAAGTGTAAAAATATTTATTGATACTATAAATTAAAATTCCTATACATACTACTTAGTTAAATTAAACAAAAAAATATTATATTATTTTTCTATAAAGTTTGGTGCTGTTAATTAATACTTAATAATTATTTTCAAAATTTCAAATAATCAATAAACTTCAGTGTACTCATTACCATGTTAATATATTAAATAATAATATAGTGATTTACAACTTATTAATAATAACAATATAAAAGGCTTTATGTTGTCATTACAAGATATTTAGATATAACAAACACTTGACACTTAGAAATTAGAATTTTGTGTCAGTACTAAAAAAAAAAAAAAATGTATTCTGTTAAAAATATTTAAATTAGATATGTTTAATATAGATAGTTAAATTATATTATAAATTATAATATAACTGAGAATAGACACAGACTTGTGACGATGTTACTGGTGGGCTTTGACAAGCATTTAAAATGCCGAATGCACAGGCGCTCGATCTCGGAGACTATCTAATAATGTTGTATCGTAGGCTCTCTACTGGTACTATTTATATTAAATGTGTCAAACACTACGTGCTTGCTGAAGGTTGAAAGTGTACAGGAACGTGACTAGAAGATAGGTTATAAGAAAAGGATGTGTTTATAGTGATACGAGACATGCAGTTAAATAGGTACGTGATTAATATCAAATAGGTATATCATATCGATATAATTATAGAACAATGTTATATAGTTATTCTTATAACGTATGTATTTACTTCCATTCAACAAGATAGGTTGTTATTTTTCGAATTTTTATACTTTTAAATTTTAATCTAATAGTTGAAATTATAGAATATTTATTTATTTATTGTTAATCATATTATTGGAATTGTCCCTAAAATGTCCTTAAAATACCTTTTATTTATACTACCTACTAAAATTCATTTAGAAATGGTATAATAAATGGAAAAAAAATCAAAAACATATTTTTTAACTTTAAAGTTATAATTTAAATAAATATTTGTTTTTAAATTAAAAGGCATACAATTATAGTAAACAGATTCAAGATAGCCCATACATTTTTTATTGAATGATTTTTTGAAATACAGTGGATTCCGCTTAATAATATGGGCATATTGGAACCAGCCCTGTTAGGTCTACATTAACCGGTTTCCCATAAAACCGAAATTAGTTTAAAAAAAAAAATTATGATATCAAAAAAAGTTTTCATTTTGCACACGTAAATTATGCAATTGAAAAAAAAATGTTAAATTACTACATAAATAAAACTAAATATAACATACTAAATAAAATAACTTTTTGAATGTGGAATATATACAAAAATTGTAATTTCTCGTTGTCTAAGCTGTTTAGTGTGGATCTGGTTTACAAAAGTAGCACACGATTTAAGCTTATCAGATGGACTACCCTCTTTACCCTCTTTTGTATATTCTAACACTATGATAAAATGAAAATTGCCCACATAAACCGAACTGAGTGTCCATATTATGCGATTCTTTTTAACCTTAATGGTATGCATTGGAATTGGGACTAGACCATTTTGCCCATATTAGGCGGATGCACATATTAAGCGGTGCCCACATTAGGCGGAATCCACTGTATATAAATTTAACATTATACATTAAATATCTTCTCATATATTTAATTGATTATTTATATAAGTATATAACACATATTAAAGTATACGTTTATCTGACTTTTATAATAATGAAATATTAAGCTTCACCATACATTTAAAAAAATGTATTCTCTTAATTTATGACTTAATTGCACTATATTGATTATGTTTATGTAGACGTCTTGGTAAAATATTTTCTTATAAATTCGTTGTGTAATTAATTTTCAGTTAACAATTTATTTTTAGTTAAAAATTAGTAATCTTCTATCCGTTATACTAATAAAACCCATAATAATTCGTCATCGATACTTTAACTTTTTTTTAAATGTATAAAACCCGTTCAAAAATTAAATTCTAAGTCCACCTAATATGCTTGGGTTACTGAGATGGTCGTCTTTTAGGGCTGAAGATTATGATCAGCCGATAGAGTTTTATAAATGAGATGTAAAGTACCTTAGTGTCCTGCTAACACAGCATGAAATAATAATGTGAAATCTCCTATACAGATGCATTGAATTGGTTTTTGTTTAATCGAGCAGCGTATTTACATAATATTCTTAAATATAAAAATCAATATTACGCTAACATTTTTTACATTTTATCCTATTTCGTTTAAACAATATAGAATAGTCGATGTACCGGAAGATCATTCCAACAATAGCACAGAATCGGGTGAAGAAGAGAGTGAAGAAGAAGGCGAAGAAGGTGTAGACCCCAGCGAAGAGGCACTCATACAAGCATTTGGAGAGACAGCCGTACAGGGCGTCACTTGGTTGGTCCACGCCATGGGACTGAACCTTAACCAGCCCAACAATACTGGAAACACCACTGCCTCAAACGGTGTAACTGACCAACAACAGCCCACTCCCGCGAACGTTTAAATAAAAATATGACTCCAAATTAACATATTATTATTTTTATAATTTTGATTTTCTTAGGGTCACGCCTATGTGACCTTGTCAACCCAACGTCCACAAACCTATATTTATTTTATTTGTATTATTATTATTATTATTATTATTATTATTATTATTATTATTATTACTATGTATTTGGTAGTTTTTGCACGTCCGAAATCATCGTTTTCAATCGTATAATAATGGTAATATACTCTCTTGGGATTATATTAACATAATATTATTTGAGTGTACAAATGCGGACGTACTCAATATCACATTTCGCAACAACGGTTTCCTATAAGCGACTTAATTTTAATTTTATATTTTTAACTGTACGATTAAATTATTTGTACCTATTCAGTACATATTATATTATATGATACTAATTTATTACAATATTATGTTTTACTTGTAATGATTTTATTTCAGTAAATAATATTAAAATGTTATAAATAAACGATTAAAATTTAATCAATACATATCATCCGTGTTATCTATACTACAAATCACACACAATATGTCAACATTGAATTAATGCATTATAATACATCGTATCAATAGAACTACCTAATAAAAGAGTATCGACTATTGAGCATATTATGAAACTCAACTGTGCATACTGCATATCATACAAGTGAGTTCTAAGAAATCATCATTCATCGCATTAAAACGAAAGAAGATGAAAGAGTCGAGATTATCTGTATTTCAAAATTAAATTATCTAAAGAAAAATATATTACAAGTTAAGGTATCAATACCTACGTACATTTTTAATGTTATTCCTAAAATAGCATAGTCTGAACATAATTAAAGTTTCCGTGTGTTTAAATCCAGATTACTGAGAAGTCGCATGTCTTTCTACAAAATTTAAATTAAAATGAACTTTGCTGAAGTTAGATTTTAACGTTGGAAGTAAATATAATATTGTGATTTATATTTACATTTTACCGAATTAAACTGAAAATAATTCTGAACTAAATACAACTTACAGTAATACAGCCTAAGTAGTCAACCTTCTTTTTAATATTATATTATTACGTAATTTGTCTGCATTTGCCTATATAGTTACATAAAAGAAAGTGTTGTGTAGAAACCTAAAATAAAAGGTTAATTCCCATTTTCTATCCCCATCACTTCTCAAATATATATATATATATCTAACAACGATCCCAAAAAATAGTTTTTGTTTCAATACAAGGATTGTACAACTATGTAAGTAATTTACGATTACATATTTGTATATTACACTATTCTGTAAATTCAAATTTTAGGTACCTATGTTTTCAACGATGAACCCCACTCTCATACTTCCAGTAACTAGTATAAAGTACACATATAATTCATATTAATTTAAGTGTGGTGAAACTGTAGTTTGTATTAATCAGTAGTTTGCGAGTTCACCAAGCAAAAATAGTCGATATAAGAAAATAATGTGTGAATAATATTGTTATTTTTTTTTTTTTTTTTTTGTGAAAAATGTTTGGCTAATTTACAGGTACCAAATCATAAAATCAATTTTTATGTTTTTGATATTTAATTAATAAACAAATTAAACATAAAAATCTAAAATAATATTATATTTAAACACGTTGATCTGATTTTATTATGGTTTATTTTATTCTTCAAATACAAGACGCAAACAAAAAAACTGTTCAACATTTACAAGTACATAGATTTTGATCCGAACCGACTAAAAATTATTCAATATTATGTTGCTAAAAATAAAAAAAAGTGTAAAAATAACACAATAGAACATTTTGTCAATGCATCACGTATGTTCATTATTTTTTAGCTAACAATAAGATAATCAATATATTCATGAAAAAATCGAAATTAATAAAAAAAAATTTTTTTTGTAGATTGTAGTAAACTTTAGTGTTTATATTTTTCAAAACTGAACTATTTTTTTTTTTCATTCTATATACTAAGACTCGTATATTTATGACTTTTTTCTTATTTGGTCAGATTTTGAATACGTACCTATAACCTATAGATACATAAAAGAACACACATGTTATTTCTGTTAGATAAACACGATTTAAAAAAATTGAACATTATATACATCCGTGAAATCCGTAAGAATATAAGATCCGTTCACATATTCTCTACATAGTACATACATATAGGTACTGATAAATAAACTTCATACTTTTATTTTCCACTCAATATATATTCTTAATGCATGGCTGTCGCCTGTCACATACCTACTACATTATACATACTTATAGATAAACTCTTACAAGACCTAAATACAAAACTTGCAGCTACCCAATTCATCATAGAATCTTAGAGGAGTTAGAAAATATTTATTTAACAATTTATATTTTTTTAAGTACTCTTGTTTTTATTTTATTACTTTTACTAAATATATGTGTAAAATGTATGCTAAGTAATGCTAACTATATAGAGATTGAATAACTTATTCGGCACTTAATTTATTTTATAACATTAATATTAATGTACATATTTTAAAAATAATCATAAATTCATACAAATAACGAGCCAAGTATTCCAATAATAATATTTACGAATACCCATAGTAAATTTAAGCAAAGGAGGACTGACAAATAACAACATTGACGTTATAAATTTATGTAATTGTCTAAATAGAAATACTTTTCAATATTATAACTTACAATTAATCATAAATTATCATAGATTATTATAATTATTAACCTAACCAAACGCTTGTGCACTCTTTGAATATATAGTTGTACATTTTTGAAGTTTAAAAATATTTTCAAACTTGCATTAATCCTACCAAATTAACTAAGTATTTAGCAACCAAAGTCTATTGTATAAATAAATCTCCAAACACTATTCTAGTAAGTATATTATAATTCATAATTTATAACATAAAAGAAAATAAGAAGACAATAATAAGTATTTATACAAGTTACAATAAGATACATCTCTTTACAGAATCTCAGTTTTAATTTCAAATGAAGAAAAAAACAAGTTTACGATCGTCTTTTTAGTGATGCTCACATTTCCAGTTTACCGTTATCTAAAGTTAGCCAGTACTATTTATTTCATAAAATAGGTACTAGGGGTTTTTAATATATTAGATTCATAAATACGTGAAATAAAACTGTAGTTATACAATTTTATGTTAACGGAACCGATACATCTGGTAATATAAAATATTAAAGTTAATATTTATTCACATCAAACCTTAAGAAAAACAATGCATATTAATTAAAGTAGTAATTGATCTCGATTACTTAAAAGTAATAATGGATCAACTGGTTAGGAAACGAATTTCATGATAAAGATTATAAATATAGAAAAGTTAAAATGTAAAATCAACCCAATAATAATATACATACTCTACATTTCGTAACATTTAACGTATAATTTACATTAAAGAGCCATAACACCAAAAATATTATTTTATTTTCGCTGTTCGTCTTACGCGTAATATTATTATATTAATAAAGGACATACCTATCCCGTACTTCTGCGATTACGATTTAATGGCTCTGTTTAAGATACAGGGTCTATTTTACGTGTTATGAATAAGTATACTTCCTGTATATTAGCTGACTTAGTTCTAAGATATTTTCATTTTTTATCAAGATAAGTACGTTTTAATGTAACTAAATGTATTCTATGTCTAACTTCTACAAAAATTAAAATATTTAAAATAAATTTCCAAAGCAAACTAAACATCCTTCAAAACGTATAATAGGTACATGGGTCTTGTGTCCTAAATTGAATCAGAAAGTCGTTATTGAGGAGTACAGAATATTCTATACGTTTATTACGTGCAAAATAAATAGAAAAAATAAATATTGGTATAGCTTAAACATTATAGTTTGAGTGTGCATTTAAGTAGATACCTAACGGTTTACAATAACATAACGTTACATTTTAAATTTCAATATTATGTTACAGTTTAAATCGTTTTCACATCATAATATTATGCAATACATTATGTGGGGTATAGCTGTACAGTGTACATAACTATATAAGTATTGCTTATAGTTTATAAACTGCAGAAAAAACATTGATATTGCAGTGAAAAAAAAATATAGTACCTACCACCAATATTAAATATTTAGTAGGTAATGTACTGAGTATGGCACTATAACTTAGCCACATCTTTATTGGTATTTCTACAGTTATATAGCCATTCATGTCAGTCGTATAGTGTTTTCGTATATTCGAATATAATAAGGTCTTTTTCGAGGAATCATAAGAAATTGCGCTGTACATATTTACCGTACATAATTAATAAAACATGCAATCAATTCATTATAGGTTGTTAATAGTCCACAAACGATTGAATACCTATACTGGCTACACTTAACATTTTGGCCTCACATATTCATTAAGTCGAACACGTAAACAATCTGTCATGTATCATGTATAAATAATATAAATTTCCGTACAAAATCGTATAAATTATTTTCAACAACGATAAAAAATACTTATGTACTTCTAAATATTATTTCATGTTCCGTTATCACACTTTGTTTAAATAATCTATTATAATTATAAATTTACAGTAAGTACCTATGCAATTTTCATTAATATTTTTTAATATAATAAAGTAGGTAGGTGTTTTTCCTCGAATCTAATTAATTACGAAAGTACTTGTTTTACATTTCTCTATTTTATACTAATATGTACAAATATTAACAATTTTGCAAGTTAACATAAAATAAAAATTTTATTTAAATATTAGATTACTAACAATACTTACAGTCATTGAGCTTACTAATATTAAACGAACCTGATGCGCTGAACATGATAATACGAATAAACACCATCACTACTCAATTATTTTTATTACTATGTCCAATTCACAATATAATATATACCTACTCAATCTATATAAGTATAAGAAAATATAAAACAAAATAAGTAATCAAGATTATAACATAAACATCAAGTGTGATCAGTGCCGGATTTAGAACAGATGCCACCTTAGGCCCTTTTAAATATGCCACCCCAACCCCAAGAAAAAAAATGTAGTATTTATTTCTCAAATGTATGGATTAACTTCTATGGTTTTAAATATGTATATGAAATATTATATAATATTAATTTACGTAGTTACATAAATACATAAAATATTTTTATGAATTTTTTTTCAATCTTACAAAATTTGCCAGTCTAGGCCAAGGCCGCCCATAGGGGAGGAGGTCCACGCCCCCCCCCGCTAATTAAGATATTACCTAATTTTTTCTCCCTCCCTTTCCCTTTATATAGCGTCTTGGAGGGCGATAAAGAGGACTAATAACTGATAAGGTGACACTTGCAATGTTAAAATAAATAAATAATTTTTTTTTACAATGTGATATAAAAAACAGAATTTATGGTAAGTGTATTATTTTTTGCTGCCCCCCCCCCTGAGAAAAATTTCTGCGGGC